GGGGGGGGGGGGCGACTGACGTTAGTTGGATTAGCATACAACTCTGACAGAGCGAGGGAATTAAAGGCAGCACAGAGGTACGATGGCCAAGCAAAATGGTCCCCGGTCTCTGCTTTATTTGAATAGGCAGCCTAAGATACGTGAAAACAGAGAGGCAGTGAGGAGAAGCTCTTTGGCCCCCAGGATCAGAGCGGGTTGGGGGGGGACCTGTGGTGCCCGGGCAGACTGCTAGTTAAGTAGATAGGGCCTCAGTAGACTGCTTCAGTATGGGCTCTGGGAAAAATACACAGCCATTTTGGCTCCCTCAGGGCCCGAGTCTCTAGTAATAATGGGATCAGAGCCATGACCCTCCCAGGACACCGTACCACTATTGGATATTCTATTAGTTTCCCTTGCAGTGAAAAGAAGTCCGTGCTCAGCTACTTTTCTCACTCAGAAACACATTTGTTTTACTTTTATGTAGCTTTAACAGTGACTAATCAAATTATTTAAAGTTTCCAGGAAGAGACTTCATTAACAAGTGAGCAGAGTGCAGTGCTACTTATGACAATTGTAAAACCTTCTAGTATATAAAGCTATGTATTGTGGATATCTTCTAATCATATCTAATGTACTTTATGCATGCAAGGATATTGTAAGCTATTAACATATGCACAAAAAAAGCGAGCCCCATAATTGTTCCTTTTTACCATTTAATCCCAGCACTGGAAGATACAGCAGAGATCACATTAACATTTACATTTCTGAATCCCCCACCTCCTTGATACAGCTCCAGCTTTCAGCCCCAGCATCTCGTCTTCCTTTACATAATATCAGGCTGTATTAGTGCTACATATGGAGCTCTACTGTCTGGTGCTGTGTAGATTTACATTTTCCTAATGATGTGCTTTCATTTTTCCTCCGCTATCCCCCCTGTCCTTCCCTTCACCTCCAGCCCACAGCCCACGGTGATTTAAAACACATACAACTGTACTGCCGTTTTACTGCAGAATAACACAAAGCGCGGGTTGAGACACCTTTGGTCGCCCCGGCCCCATCTGTTGCACATCTGGAAGTGGTGCGCCGCACCAATAATTGGAAGTCAATTTGTTTGAAGTTATGTATTTGGCATCTGGCTCGATTCATAAAAACTCTGGAAATCGCATTAATTTTATAGCATCTCGAGAAGGCCCAGCCACTTTTTTTTTCATCTCTCTTGTGTTCCATCGTTAATGCACGTGGGGCCTTGCTAGTCTAGTGACGTGGGAGTTTGTCGAGCACTGGTTCAGGGTGTGGTCCTTAATAAAAGCAGCATGGAGGCTAATGCCCTCAAGAATCATGGGATGAATTACTGTAGTGCACTGGAGAGACAACGCTGCGATTGCTTGAGTTCCTAATCATTAAATGCAATGCTTGAATTGTGGCTAAGTTTTATAATTTCACCTTTAACTTTGACCTCAACCTCAGATCATTTCTTATTTTTCCTGAAGGGGAAAAACTCATCCAGGGCCTAGTTTGCCACATTTCCAGTCGACGGGCTGACTGATTGAGAAGCAGCATGGTATTGTTTGTCACACAGCTCTGAGTCATGGCTGAAAATAGATATGACACTTGATGTTTGGTGCCTCACTGCCGGCTGTCATATTGTTATTCCCACTCAAATTTCACCTAATTTGTGCACAAGTCTTGTCACAGTCCAGATCCTGATGAGGGCTTTTAGGTGGTTATTTTTTTTTCCCCTTAGCTTCCTCGTGTGTGTGGCAACGAGGTGCAATGGGATACACACCTGTGCGTGTGTGTGTAGTATGCATATCTGTGTGTGTTTGTGCTTGCGTGTGCACATTTGTGTTTGCACACAAGCACATTTGATTAGGCTTGTTTGTGAGCGCGAGTGTGTGCGGCCCTGTGCGTGTGTGCGTGTGTGTTTGGCACGCTCCAAAGTGAGTCACCTCAGCGGGAGGTGATTAAGAGTTGCCAATGGCAGGCTCGACAGGTGAGTGCATTGTAGCACGCTGGCAGCTGTGGCATCTGCACAGGTGACAGCTTCTCCTGCTCAGTGGTGGTGTCAGTGTTGGTGGGTGGCAGGAGGTCTGACAACGTTGTTTTGGTGACAGAACGACTCCGCTGTGAGGTTCACGACATCACTTGCCTTCTTCAGATTTGTCAGTTTATACTGGGAAGTATAGGTAGTACCATGGACTTAAGCATATACTGCCAAAGCACTATTCCATATGTGAAAGTACTGTTTACCAACTATGGTTATACACTCAAAGGCATTTTACTTTATTGGCTTTTTTAAATAATCCACCAGAAATGTTCTCTGTTGTACCACACTCCTGCCTTGGGTTCCTTTTTATTAACATCCTGCACAGTGTGATGACAAAACGCAGCCCACTGCTGCCACCTGCTGTCGGAAATACGACACAGCAGCAACCCTTTCATCCTGGGAGTGAGGTAATTCTTTTGAGGGAGACCATTTTGCTGTGCATGCTGTAGTAACACAAAAAAGAAAACGGAAAAGATTATTTTACAAGGTGTACAGTGTTTGGCAGACGGCTAGAAACCAATCTGTTTCTTAAGAAGGAGATCAGGTAAAGGCCGGAGGAAGTGAGAGAGAGAGATAGGGAGGTCTGTGGGATTACAAACTTTCTCAAATTGGTTTTACATCTTCAAATTTGTGTTCCCCCTCCTAACACATGCAGCTAATGTCTCTAACATGACTGCGTTATCAGACCGTATTCCACTGTAGACACACTTTCACATCAGTTCCTCTAAGGTTCCAAACCGTGGGTTGATGAACTGTGATATTCCAAATAAAAAGTCGCTTGTTCTGATGTCACCGTTGCCTCATCCGACCACATTTCCTTTTGAAGCCTGTGCATAAACGGCCTTGAACTTTGTCCATGATAGCCTTTGATATGGAGAGAAATGAATTAATTAGGAAGTTTAATCTGACTTTCTTTTTAGGGGAGAATATTTTGTCTCTTGAGGTAGCCTGAAAAGAGTGTATGTGTATTGTTTTTTTCTCCTTTTTTTATATTCTGTCAATACTTTAATTAAGGTAAAGGGTATTCGTTTGTATTATTCTACCCTTTACTTTGACTTTCATCAATTCCTGCGCTACACTAATTGGATTTGTGTATTTTTCCCAAGTTTGGTAAGACGAGACAGGAGGAAAAGAAATCATTGAAAATCAAAATGTAAATCAAGCCTTTTGAAACTTCACTCATACTGACTTTTTCTTAGATACTCTTCATATTTTTATAGCGTAGTAAAAATCTATATTTACCTTCCTTAACTGCTTTGGCCAATTACCCGTAAACATCACTCACCACTTTGTAGTTGGAGTGACTGTAATCTGCGCTGATTGATTGGTTCAGTCTTGTTTGCGGCTGAAGAGGAGATGCGAGTGAGGAATGTTTCGATTTCATTACAGAGAAACATGCGCTAATAACACTCTAAAACATTAATTCAGGGAGGCTTTGATGAGAAATCCGTTTGGGAAGTATTGACGTGTGTTTTTTTTTTTCTTCTGTTTGTTGTATTATTAATGCATAACTTCAAGAAAAAACTACATGTAAATGAATGATTTTTGAATGATACTACAGAAAACAGTGCATTTTTAAGAGTTGTGATCATAATGAGCTCACGGTTTAGGATTGCTGTGTCACAAACAAACTTTTCTCCAGCAAACTTTACTAATGATACAAAGAGTTTATAGTCATCTTCCTTGCAGTATGAAAGGGCGTGCCTCTTCATCCTGCTTACCTCAAAGGAAACTTTTTTGGCTCTGAGCTAACAGCTCTCACAGCAACTCTTTATCCCTCACCATTATCCATCCTCAAGGGCTCATCAGCTCACAGTAGGCTCATCAGAATTATTACTCCTCCTCTACTTGTCTTTATTATCCAATTTCCCTCCTCTCTCCTCCTTTCTGCCACTCATTGCTAATCAGACACCTTGTAAGCCGGCCCTTCACCTTCCACTATGAAACTTTTCAGGCTTTGTTCACTCTTTCAGCCCTGTTGTCGTCCAGCAAAATCATTTTTCAGTCAGTTTATCACTCTGTATCATGTTCCTACCGTCATGCCCCTGATAAGTTGCGCTTCCTGTACACTAAACAACAGAGCGGAGTTATGAGTGAGAGGTTAGATGTGGTAGGTAGCATAAGTCTGTCATTAAGTCAATTTTTTTAGAGTTAATGTAGCATTTAGCAATAGAAATGTAGTCAAAGTTAGTTGTATTGTTTGAGGGTGCATGACTGAAGACCTCGAGTAAATGTCTTGTGTGAGATGACAACAAGAAGCCAAAATCAGGTATATCAAAAAAGGGGTTTATTATATTTTTCCCACCCCTACTAAGAATAAAAAAAGGTAACATGTTAGATAATAATATATATCTTTTTTATGAATACATGGATTAAAACATATATAAATACAAAAACACTTATTTAACAGAAACACTTAAGGTAGGCATTGCGGTGAGTACATGTTTTTTAAGACAAAACCGGGAGTTCGAATAAGGCACATCAAATGATCACAATCCCGACTGCAACTATTAAAAAAATCCTTCTGTGAAGCAGTAGTATTGTCATTTAAGGAAGGACAGTTTTGACAGTGATTATTTTGCATATGTTACAGTGTACAGCTACCACAGTGTTTACCAAAAAAACGAAAAACAAACAAACAGAATTCATTATTTACATTATGTACTTGAAGGCCGATAAATGTCTCCCTTTTTTGTGAGTCTGTTTCTGCTCTGTGCGGGAGGCAGAGAAATAGATTGATTGTCTAAAGTGATGTTAAAAAGAGCACGTGGAGAAGCAGGAGGTCCCCGAGCTGTTCCTAGTCCCGCTGAGCTTTGGAGAATACAAGCTTTTGGGCCAGTGGATCTCTAACACCCACCTGATCAACTACTATACACTTTATGTACAGGTGGCACTTTGAGGGGTACTGCCAGGTGTGTTAGCTGTCATTTAAATTACTTGCAACCCTGTGAGTGGTCATTATTGTATGCCCAGAGCCATCAGTCAGTCTATTAAAGGCTCTGTGTATGCCCTTTACCACTGGGGATTACAACCTCGATGTAACGAGGAGATAACAAGAGTGTGTAACTGAAGAGGGGCACCCTCATAGATCATCACCCTCGGCCGAGCTGAAGCTGCTCCTGCGGCTGCTGTCCTTGGACGCAGCACCAGGCGAGCCTGCTGAGAGGAGCGGGTCGGTGCCAAAGGGCGAGAGCGGGTCATCCATCAGGATCTCATCCAGCCGATGCTCCTCCTTGAGCGTAGCGCTGAAGAAGTCTGTGAAGTGGGACAGTGGGTCGGAGAACGTGGTGCAACCGTCGGCGTCGGGGATGTGATCCTGCGGCCCGCTGGCAGTGGGGATGGATGGCACTCCAGCCACCACTATCCTCTGGAGGTAGTCGCTGTTTGGGTCCTCCTGGTAGAGAGGCAGCTGCTGGGGTTGCTGGGCCTGGGGAGACGACTGCTGTTGCTGCTGCTGCTGTTGTTGTTGCTGTTGTTGTTGTTGTTGCTGTTGCTGCTGTTGTTTGAGGAGATGGGAGGATAGTTCAACTGTCCCCAAGGCCGTAGCCATGTTTGGGAGGCCATGTGCTCGTGCCTGGATCTCAAGCTCCTGGAAAACAAAGGAAGAGAAACTATGAGTAAAAGATCTAGTTCTAAAGTGTTATTGGGAAAATTACCTCCACACCCATTGCATGTTAGTCAAGATAAGACCTGAATAAATTCCCACAAATGTGCGAATGCCGGAAAAAGTTATTTCTTCAAATATGAGAAGATATGCGGTGACAATATAGCGTGTACCATTGGGACAATCACCACCACACCTTCTCCACATACTGTGGTTAGGTTGGAGTGAAACTTGGGGATGTTTGGGTGTTGACACATACTCATACTCCTACACACACTGTTATCATGGAGAACATGATCAGCACTGTTAGGTCATCACAAAGCCCTGTTTGACCTTTGTTAACTGTTCTTTTAACGTCAGTGGTGGTCAATATTTCCTTTAGTCATCTTTAAAGATTATTACAGATTTTGTGTTCTTCCCATCATTGAAGTAAATTCAATGAACCACAATCTGAGTGTGCATGCTTGTGTCATTAAGTATCTCTTTAAGTTGTGCTATTTCTGACCTTCTTCTTTTCTCACTGAAAGTGCTGCAGTCATTGTCTTCAGTCATCAGGTAATTAGCACTGAGCTTTAAAATTTAGAGCAGAGATAGGAAGAGTGGAAAGACCTCATGTAAACAACAGTAGGGGAGCGAGGGGGTGGGGGATGTCTAACTAACTATTGGGGTCGTAAAGCTTTGAAGGTAGAAATTAGTTTATGTTGTAGGCTCGTAAAGCTTTGGAGGTGGAAATTAGCAGAGGTGTGAAGTACATAGGGATGATTGAGTCACTCAATTGACAGAGTGAGCCCTCTGTCTTTACCAAACTGATCTTTGGCATTATAGAACAGGGCCTGTTAGATGCCTGAAGGAGGCTGTTTTTAAATAAATCAATAATGTGAAAATGGGGTTTACTTGGATCCTGTACTCGGACTAAGACATTAGTGGGGCGTTAGTGAGTTGATTGGCCAACCTTATGTGTTAAAGAGTAAACTAAAATGTATTGGGAGGAAAACTGCTTTTGTGTTGATGAATGCATGAAGCCATCAAGTCTAAGGTTGTGTACTTTATTATTATATACTATACAAGATATTTAAGATATTTTGGGTATCTCATAGCCAAGTCTAACATAGTTTGTTATTTTGCTTGTTTGAACAGAAGATATATAGATTTATGAGTTACGATATTCCTCAAAAACTCTTAATATTATTGTGATTTATCACTGTATATAACACAAAAATGCATTTATGCTGTTATGTTTTAGTACCTGGATCCTCAGCAGCAGCCTCCTGTTCGCTTGCTCCAGCTTCTTCTGACGGCTCTCCAGCTCCCGAGCGTGCTGCTGCTCCTTCTGCAGCCACCTTATGTACTCCACTGAGGCCTTCAGGATAGTGCCTTTGTTCCAGCGCATGTCGCTGCAGAAGGAAGAAATGTTAAAGATAACCTTTTACACAGAACCCCCTGATGTCGGCAGAATATCCTACGCAATAAAAAAAACGGGGGGGGAAAAGTTTTAACACAGAGGTTTTTTCCTCTTTTTATGATATGAATAAGAAATGGTGATTTACATGGGGCAATTATTCATCCTTGGACATTACATGGGGACACTGAATGGGAATTTTAATAGAATAGTTAAGTAGCTATGTGGAAAGTCCATTCTCGTACCTCCTTGTTCGGTAAAATTAATCCTCGAGTAAAAATAGGTGAGGGAAAATGAGCTAAGTAGGAGGACGGGAGGGGGGAAATGGAGCATTGGACTTGAGGTGCTAGAGTGCAAGTCATTCTTTTGCAGATATTATTGCTTTTTTAAAAAGGAAAGGGGAGCTGCAGTAAAATTGTCCTTTTCCACACGAGTGAGACGTTGGTCTGATCAGCACTAATAATCTCTTTTATCCCGTGTTAATGGCACGACGACAACGCTAACCCTCCATTTAAATTTAAAGCAAAGTTCAATTGCGAAAGATGGCCGGTGGATTTCAATTCAGCTCCATACTCCATCTCTATGTTCCAATTGTGCTTCAAACTTTGATTCAAATGGTGTGGCCTGCTTCTTTGCATTTGACCCTTTCCTCATCATTCATGCTTTGAGCTGAACTGCTGGGACCCAGCGAGAGGATGTACAGCTTCTTGGAGCGTAGACTACAATGCAAGTTCAAGTGCACCCTTGAAATATGACTGAAATGTGCTTGAGTACTCATTTGAATTCAATGAGCAACGTTTAGAGTGTCTTTGTGCTTTGAATTTAATATGCTTCCTAGCCAGACAAGGTCTTGGAGTTGTTTCAGTGACATAAAGTAAGTGAAGGCAGGGGCATTGTTTCAATAAATACATTGAGATTTTGCAACTTACGGGTCATTCGACTTTGGTATGAGTGTCCCCAGCTCTTTAATCCTGTAGTTGATGTTGTATCTTCGTCTTCTTTCAACTAAGCAAGAACAAAAAACGAGCAGGAGATGATTAGGGCATTGTAAGCTGCAGTGCTAGAGGCTATAGCCATAACTTATTTTCAGATGATAAACTGTTAGGGAGCTGAAAAGCAGAGGGAGACACTTACTCAAGTTATGGTTGTCTTTTTTCTGCCTCTCTTTGGCCATCACTCTTGTGTCGAGTTCTGTCGGGAAAAAAAATCAGAGAGGGGAACGGATTGATCAGTAACGCACACTAATTTAGGAACCGAAAGACAACGAACACAAAACACCACAAATGGTCCAGTCAGGAGACGCACAATCAGTTGTTTTGAGGGAGTTCAGCGGCGAGGTCAGCCTGAATGTGGAGTTTCCGTGCATCAGCCCACACCACAGACAGTTCGACTTCTTTATACACACAAACACACACTGAAAGAGCCTAATTTATTCCCCTCCAGCATGTCTGAAGCTCATTGTGGAAAAAAAAATGGTGAACACTTTTAGATTGCTTACTCCGTAATTAAGACAGTTTAGCAAATTCACTAATCTCTCCGGGAGAGGGACAAAAATGCCAGTGCATCCATATTTGTACTCACATTCTTCTAAATTACATAATTGGGGACCTGAGATTGGATTTCCCAATTTGTCTCTGTTGATTCAATCAAGACAATTTAAACTCTGTGTAACAGCCCATTGTCCTCTCCGCCCACACTCAAATGAAACAGATGGCAATTTACTTATTTGCCCGTTGAGAGTGAAGGGTTCTTCAGGCATACTTTCTGTTTCCTAAATCAATTAGGCTTCTTTGCTTGATGCATGACATTAATAAGAAATGTCTTAAAGGGCCCTTTGTTTTTTTTTTGTACTGTGACGAAGTCTACACGTTTCTACGGTCTATTAACAGAACACAAGTAGGACAGTGTTTGTCAAACACTGGACACAAATCAGCTTACACATTTGTCTGTTATTTTGCCTGACACACATAATTGGACTCAGTTTTGGCTGGAACAGACACACACACAAGACGTTGCCTTTTTTAGCTAACGCAGGTACACTCTGTCCTTATTAGCACCCACCCAGAGCTTCAGTTTAGAAGAAATTGTTGTTTTTTAAAGAGAAATATGAATTATTATTTGTTTTAATTCACTAAAATGTCTTAACAACCGGAATGTGTAGAATTGTAACTTTTAAAGCAATGTGAGAATTGTAATAATTCATTACTTGGTTAATTGTTTGATCAGTACTATGGTATGAGTTCATACCTGTGTATTCCCTTTTAACAGTGAGCTTTGTGGGGTTAGATGTGGGACTCATTCCACCATTAGGGGCGTTCATACCTTGTTCACCCCCATAGACGTCCAGCATGCTGCCACTGAGGGACACCTAGGAGGGAGAGAGAGGAGGGGGAGAGAAAGAAAGAGAAAGGGTAAGTCACAGGAGAAGCAAGCAAGAACATTTGCATTTCACATGCGCCTTTCACACTTTAACAAAAGCCACAACACAAATAGTTGTTTTGAACTGCTGTGTGGCTTTGTTTAGCATTGACTAAATTGACAAGAGGTGAGTGGAGTGATCAGAGAGTGGCAGAAAAAGGTTGTCAGCCCCCAGGCCTCTGGCTTGGGACTTCCCAGCAGGGAGTTGTAGTATCCACATGTCTCCCTCAGCAGGACAGGGCAGCTCTGTGGTCATGAATGGTTGCCATGTTCAGTCTGCATGCTCATTTTGTAATACAAAGAGCAAAAACGACTTAACAAGAACATAACCTTGCTAAAACCTGTCAACAAAGGGTCGTCCTACAGCTTTACTCCAGCTGACCCTAACCCTGACCCCCAACCCAGGCTTGCAGCCCTCTGAAGTTTGGTTTAACCGGCAATAGTGCCTTGATCTGCTAATGCCACCATTTTCAAAACCCCTCCACTTGAAAGTGCTCCTAACACAAAGATGCGCCCTGTGTTGAAAATAGCATCCCATTAGATGAAAAGGCTAGCTAGGTCAACTGCTTGAACAGAGGCAAAACTGTTTTCCTACGGGTCTCTTGTTGTCTGGGAAAGCATGCATCAGTTCTGTGATAGGACGTCTTTTCACGGACTGGGGAGATGTGAAGATATAGCGTGCTGACACACATGTGTGTCTAATTCGCATTTGTGCATTTATGGGAAAATGCTACAGAAGCCACCATGCATTCCAAGATGCGCACAGCCAATTTTATCTGCGACAAGTGTGTCAAATCTAACTACGAGACTGGTGAATGTGATAAGGCTGCATGTCAAGTCAAGAGATGGGAAGGAGTAGAAAGCAAGAGGGAAAAAAAAGAGAAGAAACAAAACAGAAGAAACTGCAGACATTTCAGATATCTGCAGTCGGTTTGGTTTGCATGTGCGTTTTTTTTTCTCATTATCTCAACAAGATGGGAGAAGAGTAGGAGGAGGAGGAGGAGGGGACAAAAGTGCTTATCAAAATGAAAGATTGCAACAATTCCCCTACTACTCCTATTGTAATCACTTCAATCCCTCTCCCGTCTGTGTTCCTGGATGTGTTGACACGGCGAAACGGCGTGATGCATCGTACTGTATGACTAATTAGGATGAATTGATCCATTTAAGCATGGTATCATTTCTGAACAAGCCCATGGGGAGTGTATGCATTAGCCCAATCCAATAGCTCAGTAACTCTCTCCAACAAAATATCTAACTCCTCGCTCCTCTGTCGCGCTTTTGTCCTCATTTAAAAACCTACTGGCTCTCCCATTCCCCGTCTTCTCCCCCACACCCCTCACGCCTCATCTCTGCCTCCCTCCTCTCATTCCTTCTCTGTCACAGTATCTGTAGTGTTTTGCTCCATTATCTGTGTGTATGATTCTTTGTCTGCCAATCTGGGTCTCTCTGTATTTAAGGAGTTAGGCCAGATTCCCAGTGTTCCCATCCCACAAACTCTCTCTGTATTTGGTTCAGGTGCTGCTATGTTCTCTGGCCAAATGGACCCCTTGTCCCAGATTTTTGCTCAGAGTTTTTGAATTCCTGCTTGTCTGTGCTGCAATTTCTAGTTGGTTGGCGTCCCAAGAATGAACTTAGTAAGACAGTTACTATAAATGTTGCTTCTTCTATTGTCATATTGTCATTAATCATATACTTTTCTCCAAAAAACATCCTTCTTTTTTAACTTAATCTGCTATGTTGATCTTCGTGAGTAGTGTGAGAAATGTTCCTAAGCCCCAATGAACTTTGACTCATCTCTAGACTTAAGCTGACCTCAAACTAAGACAGGTCCCCTTTTTCCCAAGCTGGTCAAGCCTGCGCCTAAATGTTTGGATGGAGGAACCCCACCTTCAAAGTCCCCATTCAACTTAAAAAGAAAGAGGTCATTAGTTAAGGAACTTCCCTTGACATAAACCTAACTGCAATAATGTGAACGACTTAACAAACAAAGAACATGTTGCAGAAATCAATACAAAAGACCTTCAAACTGTTGATAGTCTGTCGCATTTTAAACAGTGTTAGTATGAAGCTGTAGTTAATAGGATTTATACTTACATTGTTTTGCATTAGGATGTTAGAGTCCATGCAATCCAAGCCTCCATCATTGAAACCGGATTCAAGACTAATTAGGTCATCAATAACTTCATCCATTGGAAACTAAAAGAAAACAGTAATTTCAGTGTACTCAGGGACAGACTTTTTTTTTTTTTTTTAACCAGGATTTCAATCCTGTCCAAGTCTGATCTTTTGAAACATTCAAACCAAAATAGACATGAAAAAAGGGGAGGGACTTTCCAGAGACTAATCCAATAACAGACGAGTTCTCGGCCGCCATGTCATTCATAAGTTAGTTAGCAGTGTTGGCGGGAGAAACACGCATCTGTTATCAAACTAGTTTCCTAAGGGTTCTCTCATCAGAGACTACGTGTCTGAAGTTATTGATGAGCACATCAGAGAGAGAGGGAGATCAATAATGGCATCACTTTGTTTAGATGATTAGTTGGAACTACTCTCTGAGATTCAAACCCAATCCAGATAGAAATTGTACAGGTCACTGATACTTGTGAGTTATATTACTTGTTTAATGTCTATCCAAACAAATGGTCAGCCATGATGTATCTCTCCTAATGAAAGAATTTAGAAGAACTAAGACCAAGACTAAGAACAAATTATTACAATTAGCATAAACGATAGACACAGAACAAATTATTTCTTTTGACAAGAATGTGAAGTGTTGACAGGAAAACATTTCAAGAATGTTGCGAAATCTACAAAAATTATGACCCACAGTACGTCTGTATGTGACCCAGTCTGTGGTTCAAATTTTTTGTTGCAATTTCATTCTTTTCCTGTCACCAGTAGGCACATTTTGAGTTCTTTCAATTTCAGTTCCATATATTCAGCAACATCTTAATTCACAATCTGACGCTTTCTTTTTCCTTAACTCCACTCACCTCGCTGTCGTGGTTGGCCATAGTAAGCAGGGTAACAGGGCTGTTGGGGTTGCTGCCGTCGCTGACAGATGGCATGTGTCCATTCCTCATGATCGGCAAGGTGGCCAGCGGCTGGCCGGGGGTATGTGGATGCGAAACTGAGTGGCCCTGCCCGGCCGAAGAGGCCAGCTTTGTTCCCAGTGTCAGATACTGCTTGACCTGCTGGTTCTGGGTCTGGTGGAGGTGGAACTTGGAGTTCTCCAGGTGGCTGTGTACCTGCAGCAAAAACAAATCATACACAATTCAGTTAGTTGATAGAAATTAAGTAGGAGGTTGGAGAGTGCACATTTTCTCTCAAACCACTGAAACAGCGCTGACTAACAACATTTTGTTGTCCACAGCAGCTTTGCGAAAAAGATGATCTGATTCAACTCACAGAATGCGACTCAGGATTTTCCTATTATTAGTCACAGAGCAAACTTACAGCAGTGCTATATTTTGTAGAACTTAAAGTTAACACTCATATTAAAGTGCGTCATGTTTGGCAAGTGTCTTTACGAGAAGTAAAGTAATATCATGTTCTCTAAATTTACTCCCAGTTTCTTGATGATAAATGTGATTAATTACAAAAGCCTTTTTCCTCAGAACTGAACACAAATTGACAAATGAAATACATAACATTTTGTTACTTTCGTACTCTAATCTGCAATAGCACATTATATATTGCCAGCAGTCAAGATTGCCAAACTAGTAATAAAAGATTTACCAACGTGTTATTTTAGAAAACATAATAACACTGTTCAACAAAACATTTTACCAAGTAGTTCAGAATTTTCTAAATTTAGATATCCTTACATTTGAAGCTCTGGTTGCGTCCCGCATCGTGTAGTAACTGCAGTCGGTTAAGTGTGGCATTCTCAGAAACGCAGATAATCTTCAGATTGGTTTGTTTTGGTGTAGCAACAGGTCAACTTTAGAGATCCAGGTCTGCTGCTGCTGCTATCCTGTTGCTCTGCTGACTTCTCAGTGAGTGTCTGTACTTTCCAGTCCCCTACCAATGTCTTTTAAAGGGCCCTAAGTAAGCTAATTAGGCCCAAAACTGGGGGTAAGCCTTTTTGTTGCATAGCATGATAATCACTTCAAACACTGGACTGTCAGATCACCCAGGGTTTGATCACTGCAGGATGTCTGCCTTTAGCGTCTATCACTAATTCATTCGGACCGCCCTTTTCTGTCTGACTGACCAATCAGTGGTCAGCTCCCAAAGTCCTTTGCTGTCGGCTCCAGGGGTTGTGGCAGCACAATTGACCCTTGTTCCCCAATAGGGATTTTAAATAACTCCTCTAATGCCATTTTTAACCAAGCCTTTTCATTCATGTACTGGTTTGAATGTAGACAGTTTGGTGTCATCAGTTTCCCAAACAATAACTGCAATAAAGCTATTTTGAGGTATTTAGTACAGTAGGCTATTTTTAGAGGGAACATCTCATGTTAAAACGTCTAGTTTACTTACTGGTCTGGAGCTCACAAAGAAGCTCCCTGTTGTAATGTGCTTGTTCGTGGCCTGTAGGGAATTGAATAATAATACATGTATTGTTAGCAGTGGTATTATAATATTAGTCTCTCTTGTCAGTTGTGGATGGTCATCTTGACTCTTTTACCCAGATTGTTTTGTACTTCCTCATAATAGTATTCTATTCACTGGTCAAAATGGTGTGCTATATGGTCTTGCCTGAACTCTCTCTTTTTTTTTTAAACTAAATGGATACTTTTTTCCATGACCTCAGCTAATCAATTTGAAGTAGAAGAAAGTCAGATAAACAAAAATGCTGGTGTAGTGCTTAAGCAGATTTGGTACACTATGCAGTGTGACTTAAAGGTCCAGTGTG